TTTGTGGAGTTTGAGGAAGGCAATGCGGAAATCAATGTAAATGAAATTTTTCTGCTCGTCTTCCTTCTTTCTCTTTTTGGATTTTCTGTATAGTATTAAAGTGCTTCGGCAGAGAATGTGAAAAATTCTGATAAATAGGAGATAATTGATGGACTATAGTAATAATAATAAAAATATAAATCGATGCATTAAGTCGGAAAAAAAAAACTTTAGGTTTCATATGAAAATTGTAAATTGATTGAGGCATAAAACTGAGAACAAGAGAAGAAAAAAAAAATTGGGAAAGACAAAAAGGAATAAAAAATCGGAAATTGATAAAAAGCCCAGTTGGAAATTGTCTCAAATTGGATTCAATTATTGTCGATTGTGTGACTTGTAGAGCTTATCAGCAGGACGTATTAGCGAAATTTAATACAAACGTGTGCTGCTCACTTTTTGCTTCTAAATTACTTACTGCTTTTATTCTCGATTATTTGACAATGGGACTTTTGATTAAAAGAAAATTAAAGGACTACGGGTGGGTTCGAGGAGTTGCTCGTTTGTGAATTCAATGAAAACAAAATTCTCTGACTTTTGTTGAAGGCTGAGCGATGACGATAATGACGTATTTCTTCTTTTTGGGGCGGTGGATCATAAGCTGTTGTTGGTTGATGGAGAAAACAATTATTTTGTTGAATTAAGAGATGCCTTAGTTGCTTCATGATAAGCTTAAAGATATGACAATGGTAGTGGGAGTTGCTAGGTTGGAGCTTATCTGAAGAAACTCTTAAACATGCACAGCTTTCTCTCTAAATTTAAGGAAATTGAGCATTCCATTGACAACGTGCCCTTAAGTAGAAACTGTAATCCTGATCTAAGTTTGACTTCTTTATCAGATCCTTAAAAGAAGCAGAAAAATTGGTGTCTAGGGTTTCATGAGGTTTCAATTCTAAATATTCGAAGAATTGCCAATTTAATTAAAATTAACGCCAAATTTTTTTTCCAAATCCTTGAACTTTTGGAACAGACCTCTTTAATAAATCATCTCGATCCCACTTAGCAAAAATATCAAATTAAAGAAGAATAAGAAAATCATCTGCAATCATGTTTTAAAAAAATTATCCTCATATGCAGCAAAGACTCAAATTACAGCAATGAATAAGTATTTCTATACTTCAGACATTTCAAGTGCTTATAGATTTTATTACTATGTCAATAGCTGCAACGATACTCATTATAAAGATTTTATCATCACATAAAGTAATGGCAGCTTGCGGAAGTTAAAATTGCATCAATTTAATAGCAATTTTCATTTCTATTTATTTCTTGTTGGGATTGAAAAAAAACAGTCGGAATGGAATGAAAATTACCAAAAAAAAGGGTTTCAACCAGCAAATAGACATAAAAATTATGTAAATTAAACTCACAAAAATAAACTCCTTAAATTTGAATATAATTCTGGCCCCTCATTGATTTAATTCTCGATGAATCAGATTCTGAAACAAAAGGATGGAATCGAAATGTAAAAAAAAATCACTAAAATGCAAAGAGCGATAATTCAAGATCAATTTTTGGGCAATCAATTTTGTATTATGTGTTTGTCAAGGATAAACTGAGTACTTTACTCGCTCTCCTTATCCTTTTTTTCGGTGCTCACAATTTTCGTTCTCTTTCTCTCGGCAACAACAACAACTAGAGAATTAAATGTTCTGTGTTTTTGTTTTTCTTTTGGGGGTTGTTTGTGGATGACGTAACAATTGAATAGGTTGATAGACAAACCTCTTTTTAATAACTTTGTTGTACTTATCAATACGTGATATCACAAGATCTCCTATCTCAGGTCATGCGATAATGAAGACGTGGAATCACAAGATAGGAGAGAAGGGAAGGGGGGGGGGGGGGGGGGAAGGTCTTGTACATACAATAATAAAAACTAGAAGATTGAGTCAGGATCTGATCTCTTTTGAATCTTTATGAACTTTGTTATAATAAGAATACCCGACTATGCTTAGTGAGCCTTTTCTAGTTTCCATTCTTTACAATTTAACGTAAAATTTGGTTGTGGCCCGATTAAGTGACATCAAACCTTCGTACTTTTATCTAAACATTTTAGAATAATTCAAATCCATCTTTAAGACTTAATGTCTCGAATAATATACCCTTTAATGACACATAGAATAAAAAGTGCCACAAATAAACCTTGAAACTAGCTTGACCCACTTTTGATGTCGTCCTTTTTGCCATTTTACAATGTATACTTTTCAGAACCAACTCCCAATTCTTAAACAAAACAAGCTCTGGGGTCCATGACAGTCACTTTCCTGATAAACATCCCTTCAACCATTCTCATGTATACTTCTAAAAACGGAATCATATAGAAAGCTATCATGCAATAAACATCAGTTTTATGTCATACAGTGAAGCCTCACATCAAATTCAATCAATCAATCATTAATAAAGCAAATTATAAATGCACATAAAAAAAATATTTTTGTCATCGTCAATTTTTAATGTATATTTAAATTTGGCAATATGTATTCGACTTGTGCGAGGATGTATATATATATATTTAGATTAATAATAATATCGATATGATAATGGATATTGTGTGTGTCATGCACCGCCACTGGAAAAATGAGGAAGAAAAATTTTTTTTTCATAAAATTCATTGATTTTTCCTGACTTTTCATACAGCAAGCTCTGTGTACATGTTATATACGCTCTTTCTCACTCTCTCAATTTTTTTGTGTCTTTCTCTATCCATTTCTCTCACTCAGAATAATATTTTTTTGTGTGTTCATGTTCACTCGCAGTTTATCGTTACTGCTGCACATGGACGGCTCTATTCTTGAGAATAAGAAGTGCTTCTATTCGTTATCATTAACGTAACATCTCGTTGCTCATTTTTCTTTAAGACTTTAAGAACCGACTCAAAAGGAAGGACTTAAGTGGAAAATTTTCCTTTTATTCTTCTCTTCCTTATTTCTTATCTTTATTTCATTGCTGCATATACATAACTGTTATTTTATTATTTTTATGTGTGAAACTGGAAAATTGCTTAATTTTGAGCTCGTCCTGATGTGTGTGTACATTGAAGTGCTGATGCTATAGGTCAAATAGTGATATGCTCATTTTATTTTCATGAGATAGGATACATTGAGTGTACTTGTGGAAAGTTCTGTGTTATTGTACATTTTTAATTATATTTGTAGTTTTAAAACTGAGCATCATGAGTTGATGGAAGTGCTGATAATTTATGAGGGATATTTTTTTGGGAGGAGTTGTGTAACTTTTGGATGATGAAAATTAATTTCTGAATGATTTGTTAAAGCTCACAGTGAGGATGGGTCAAATCATTAGGGTATCATTGACTTGGAGGGTTCCTAAATGACGTTAATCAGAAATATGATTTTTTAATCCATCCAGAACGCTAATGTGCCATAATTCTCTCTGAAGCAAGTTTATAAGTTAGAGATTCAAAAAAACTCCTCATGACTTCAAGTTATAGCATTCCTTTACCAGCAAGCTCCTTAATTATGACCAACAAACCTCATAGACTCACCTGTTTCGAAAATTTCAGCATCATTTATGTACAATCTTCCATGACGTCATGCACTTATGATATAGGGCAGTCTGAAGCTGTGTAGAGTTTTATGAAAATATTATTTTATAACAGTGTCGAAACCCAAATATAATTGCTTAAAACACATCATTCATAGACATCCCTTTTAAGATTTTTTAAGGAACATGTTTTACTGATTGAATCTCCAAGGACTCATGTACATATACCTTAATTAATACTCTACATTCTGATGGTTTCCAAGAGCTTTCTCACTAAGAAACTTTCTATATCACATAAAAAAATTACCATTAGATTAAAGCAAAGTTATCATTAGTTTAAGGAAGTCTAATAATAAATTTGCAGCCCTTTGTTCTTTATTTTCAACCACTAGACATGCAAAACAACAATAATAATAACATTGTCCAAACAATGCGTGATCAGTAAACATGTTTATAATTCACTCAGGCTTTAGCCGCAACTTGAACATTGCTAGCCTAGTTTCTATGCTGTACACACAAAAAAAATCAATGAATATCCTACAAAATCCTCAAAGCAGATGTCCTAATATTCTGTCAGAAAAATAATATTTTCCAGCACCTTATTCTACATGTTTCATTGATTCCATTCGCAATATCAAAATTCCAAACACCAAAGTGGCCTTCCATCGTATCTCCATCACTCAAAAATGACTGCCGGAAGGTCTATGTGCATACAATTCGAAACGAACAAAAAAAAAAATCCATACATGCGTTATGTATGATTGCTTCATACACAATTTCTCCTATCTTTCACTACGATATCAATCGATGAATTGAGTCTGCAATGAAAATCATCATTTCCATATGAAAGTTGCAATTTTTGTCATCTATAAAGTAACGAGAATGTTGACATAAACTTGATTATGAAAGAAGAATCGGAGATAATAAGTACGGCTATGCCTATAAACTTGATTATTGAATGAATAAGAGCTGCAAACTTTTCTAAATGATTATCAGTTATGACATCGACCAATTTTCAGTTATTTCCGGAAACGGACATTGATAATTTTCATTTTCTAAATAGTTTGTGATAGTTTTGTAGATTAATGGAGATAGAGAAGGTATTGGGAAAAGTTTGAGGATATTTATAGCGAATTGGGGGTGTCAGAATCTTGGACAAGCTTTCCTTGCGCAAGGGAAGAAGAGGTTACGAGGTTCTGTAAGAAAAACTATAGACTGTCTACCTTTTTGGATAAAAGAGGGCTGAGGAACAGGTTCTTACTCGTTCTATGAAGTCATTCACCATTTTTCTATGTTTTTTATTAAAACTGCACTTCTTGCCATCAACATTTAAACTATGCCAACTTATCAAATCCCTGATCATCATCTTCCATATCTCAACCCCCTCAAAACATAGCATTACCATTCCTAGACCTTAGTAGTAACTCTCTTTCCTCTTTGTTTCTACTTTTATTCCACAGATATGTGCTTATGTGAATTATACAATTAATAATAATAATATAATTATTAATAATTATAATTAAAGAGAGAATATATAAGAAGTTCCATGTATCTATAAATCCCGTCAATACACTTGTGTGTACGTGTGTGTAGATGTGAAATAATTGTGTGCATATAGTGCAGAAAAAAATAGATAGAAAAGTATTATTTCAATTGTTTTGAAGTTTTTAATTTTTAATTTAAAAGACAAAAATTGAAATAAAAGAAAAACAGCATAAAGGAAGTAGACAGAGCAAAAAAAAATCAATAAACAAATTACAATTAAAGAAGTGCTTAAAGAATTACATGAAAAAGTAATAATTGTGGAAATGCCTTTAATAATAATGTGAGAAAAAATAAGCTGCGACAGAACGTGCTCCAGAAAGTCAAACTTAAATTTTATTTTCTCCTTCGTTCCTTATTTTCTCACTGGATTAACCAACCGATGAAGTGTGCTCTACTTTCCATTCTGCAACTTAAATTTTTTAATTTCCTCTTACATGGAGAAGTGTAATTAAGTGCTGCAATGTGCTATATATAGCAGAACTTTTGTGCTATTACTGTATGTAGAAGTCTTTACTTATGTGTGTGACTACATAAAAATAAGAACAATAAGAAGGTACAAAAAATATCCTTTTTGCCTACAAAACTTTCTGTTTTTTCTTCCGTTACTTCTTCTTCGTCCTCTTCTTACTTAGTTCCAAATTTATTGATATTTTTCATTTTCAACGCACACAAAAAAAAAAAAGTGAGAAAAAAATTAAAAGTGATTTGAATAATAATAAAAATAGCTTCGTAAAAACGTCGAATTTAAGAGAATATCTTATCAATAAATTTTACGAGGATTATCGCATAAAAAAGAGTTTAAAATAAGAGTGACATAAAGAACATATAGCACAGGTGCATTTGAATAGAAATAAAAAAGAATACATATAAAATAAAATATGTCACTAGCTTTATGCCAGAATACAGACGATAACAATAATAACAATAACCAGGGCCAAATGAATGAGCAGCAGCAAGGTCCAGAGGGCGGTGATGTCACAATTTATAGGTGAGTTCAATGCTGAATTGCTCGATGCAGTAGATTTTTTTTTCTCTGCATTCTCTTCGAACTCTTGAAGCCTACATAAAGTCATATAATAGCAAATTATCGAAACTTTTTAGGACACAACAATTTTAAACGTGCTCGAAATTATGCAAAATTTATCAGTCGAAAGAGTTTATTGGGGAAAATATTTAAAATTAGTCAACAATTCAATCATAAATGTTCATTGATCCCAATAGACTTATCTGTATTTTAAAAGCTCAACAGAAAAGGGTAAAGAAATAATGGACTTATGTATGAAATATTAAGCAATTCAACAAAAGCATTAAGTATCCCAAACAAGTGGGTCAATATGTTTAATGTGTCAATGACTTTTGTATGACATGTCACTTGAAAATTATTTTATTTTGGTTCTATAATGGAGTAGGAAAATTGGAATTCAATGGTTTTTAGACAACATTAAGCAATTTTGCGAGTGTCAAGTTTGGGGTTCTTTGGTTGATCACTCAGATGACAAACTAGCAATGTACAATTAAAATTAAAATCTATAAATCTGAGTTCGATTCTCACTGAGAAATTCATTTACGATTTATTTCATAAATCAATAATCTACTCTAGAAGTTTTTAAATCTAGGACATATCTGAGATACTTTAAGAGTCATATTGATTAGGAACTGTCTGGTCTGCAGGTGAATCAAGCTGCTGTCTATGAAACAGCACTTCTCTTGTGTAAAGATTCTTCGATGTTGGAAGAATATGATTAAGTTTATTCTTGAAGTATTGACTTCTGTTAAAGATTCAATTGCAGAATGTCAAACCAGGAATTTTGATTTGATCCCTGCCAAAAAATGTCTTAGCTAGGTTTCTGGAAAATTACCTTACACTTACCCTACCCTTACCTTACACAATTATCTTACTTAATACAATTCGCTTTTAATGAGGAAGGGGTTATGAGATTTTGTAACAATTTAATCCAAGAACAAAATTTGCAATGAGGAAGGAATGATCCTAAAAAGTGCTTTTCTTGTATAAGGGTTGAAGTAAGTGAATCCTTAAAGGTGTGGTTTGAATCTACCTTTACTATAAAATGCCACTATTGCTCCAGAAATAAAACATTTCAAATATTGAATATTTTATCTGTTTTTTTTTTTCTTTTATGCACATAAGTTTAATGCATACAAACTCCATGCATCATATGTCTGCAAAGCTAATCTTCAAAAAAAAAAAAAAGAATCTTCAATATATCTGAATTTCATTGAACTGCCACAAATATTCACCTCCAAATGTTTAAATCCATAATTAAATGAAAATTTTCTTCAATAAAATTCAGAATAAAAGACATAAAATGTTATTGCTAAGTTTAAAAGATGCACAAGTGTGGGCAGGTGATAAGCCCATCGTATAAAATTTATTAAACAAAAAGCTTTAGACTTCTTCATTGCAGCATTGAACAGAAAAAAAAGATTCATTTGGACACCACTGTCTCGGCTTCTTTTTAAGAGTTTTGTGTAAATGTGTACACCTAGCAAGAAAAGCCTCATAAATATCAAGAAAAAAAAATCCGCATAAATCCTTTAAAACAGCCCAAAATACCCATGAACATATTTAAACCCTCAGAATAATTTAAATTATTCACAAAAGTCTTAAAGCTTTAAGCAAAAACTTACCTTTTCTACCTTCCGACTAACACATCCTTTCGTTAGATAAACTTTTTCTATTAAAATGCCTCAATACCGCTTTTGAATCAATTTTGCTATTCATATTTGTACTATGCATATGAATAATAACATTGCTACAACTTCCGGCACTCGAGAATGTAATGTAAAGTCATTAACCTCACTTTCGTAATTATACATCTCGTTCTGCTCTCTCGCTTGTATGTTCTTAATCACAGCATTTAAAATTTAATTAGCAGTTTCATGCCTAGAATTATTAATGAGCATTATTGTGTCATATATTTTCAATTTGGGAATTTCTAGTGTTTGTGGTTTCTTTTTACAGTTTGAGATTTTGTGCTTGATTGGTGGTGGAACTAAAAGGGTAAAGTTGGGATAGTTGATTTGATATGGATGAGCTGGATGGTTTTTTGGGGGTTTACTGAGATAAGCTCAAAATATACTAGGATAAAGTCCTTATCAAACTAGGGAATACTACCAAATTATACTAGGATGTACTCATAACCAAACTAGGACATATCATACTAGGAACCATATCATTCTAGGAAATATGACTGAAATATACCCGAATAATAACACCTTTGCTCCACCACTGTGCTTATTTTGTTTGTTGTGTGATAATTTTCAAAAAGATTAACAAAGAAAATTGCGCGTAAACAACTCAGAAAAATTATTAAGGAAGTTCCAAAAATACAAAAATTATTTCTCTGAATTTTTACTGACCTTTCTCAAACAATTTTTAAATAGATAGTCTCATAACACATTTATCGTATCGCATTTTTTTATTATTTATAAATTTTTTTACGCTCATTCTTTTTCTCGCAGATTGTGCGCACCAATCGCCAGTTTAGACTGCATGGAGGAATTTAGTGGAAATACGCTCGATTTAAATATGGGTAATTTAGTTTGATTGATTTCCTCACAAAATGTTTATTGATAATTATGCTTGTGAATATTTTAGGCCGTTCAATAAGTATAGGATCAAAGACATCATTAAAGCAAGTCTCATCGACGCCAGGTATGAAAGAAATCGTCACAGCTTCTTCTTTTTTTCTTACACGTAATGAATTTTTCCTTAATAAATCAGGTCTACGATATAAAAATCTTGGCAAAAGTGGCTTACGTGTATCAAATGTTGCCCTCGGTACATGGTCAATATTTTCCAATGGCATTAGTGAAGAGCAGGCGGAAACAATCATAAGATTGGCATATGATAGCGGCATAAATTTATTTGATCTATCCGATTTGCATTCAGGACCTCGTGCAGAGATTGAAATGGGAAAGATATTAAAGAAGGCGAACTGGAAACGAATGACTTATGTTGTGACAGTGAAAATTTATTGGAGCATAAAGTAAGTTTACGATGATGATGCTATTTATTATTAGGAACAATTGTGCAGTCGAGAAATATGTGCAATGAAGTGTGAATCTGTATTTAAGTACAGAATCGATTTTAATATTGGATGTTGAAAAAGAAAATTGGGGTATTTATAATTCTTGTAGCTTTTCAAAGTCAGTCGTGGTTGCTGTATGGTGCATTTAATGCTCTTGGTGTCAGCTTAATGCCAGATTTTCATTGAGTCTCCTTTCATGTCAGCTTGAATCTGGATTTATTTTCCATTTGTGATGTTTGAGTTAATTGGGGATGCTCTGGGAAGCTGTGTTGATGTACTGTTTTAAATTTTTAGATAAATGCAGTATATGTTTGATAATTTACTAAGTAAGGGTTGATTATTATTAGCATTTTACCGCAGCTGCTCATTCTTAAGCTGAACAATAAGTTTTAGAAATCAATTAACATTGTGAACAGCTTCACATGCTATTAGTGACTCAAAAACTCCTTTAAATACACAGTTTACCGAAAAAAAGCATAGGAATATGTTCATAATGTCAATATTTCATCACATAAACTCCTCAAAACCACAAATTAACAATTCAAAATTTCCAATAATTTCACATCAACAAAATCAAAAACTTTCTCATTCACAAACCTAACGAAGGCTAGTCACTAGTGCACATATGTTTATAAATTTCCAATCTTATCATCTCAACCCGCCCTATATATTTCATTCCTCATTCTCGTTCTCTATTTTTTTCCCACATACGTAATGCATGTCTATTTTTATCTACAGAGGGGAAGAGCGTGGTCTATCTAAAAAGCACATTATCGAGAGTGTACAGGCAAGTCTAAAGCGTTTACAACTCGATTACATTGATATAGTAATAATTCATAAAGCTGACTCAATGTGTCCTATGGAAGGTAATTAAAAAAATTCTCAATCAGAATTGTCTTGATTTTACATAATTAATTTCTCAATTATTCATTCATTCACTATTTGTTGTTACAGAGGTTGTACGAGCAATGAATTATGTCATAAATAAAGGATGGGTACTTTATTGGGGTAGGTTGTGTCATGTGCCGCAGCTATAATAAATAAATGTCATTCATATCAACTTGTGGACATACACAGATTTTTTAAAAACATAAATTAAATGAATAATTGACTATAATCCATACTTGTAGGAAGCTCCAAATGGTCAACAACTGAAATAATGGAAGCTTATACGAATTGTCGTGAATTTAACTGCATAACTCCTATAATGGAACAATCGGAATATCACATGTTTTGCCGTGATCGCGCTGAGCTTTATTTGCCCGAAATGTATAATAAAATCGGTGTTGGAATGATGGCATGGGGTCCCCTTGGGATGTACTTAACTGAAAGTACCGATCGTTTATTCTTTTCAAAGGGATCATTACGTTCAAAAACACAGAATTCATCATGGACTGAGGATGAATTAGCCAAAGAAGTAAATCCCCATATGCCATTTATTTTATTAAGTCCAATAAATTCTTATTTTTTTTGTGTATTTATTTCTAGGATCGTGTCGAGGAAGCGAGACGGCATTTAGAAAGAATTAGAGACTTGAATTTATTAGCCGAAAAACTCGGATGTAGTTTTACACAATTATCGATTGCATGGTCACTAAAGCATGAGCCTGTTCAGTGCTTGCTCATCGGAGCCAAGACATGTGAACAATTGACGCAGAATTTACAAGCTTTACAGGTGAGTCTAGTGGAGAGAATGGAAGTTTTATTGATGGTGGAAGGTATTAAGGTTTGCTGTGTCTAGAGATCTGTTTTGTGGATGTTACTAAAAAGTATTAGTAAAGCCTGTATTGCTTATCTATGTCATAGTCAAATCTGCCTCAGAATGATTATGAATCTGTAAATTTAGAGTTCGAATCCTTGCTTCTTAATAATATTATGGCTGATTCTAGGTATTCTAGGTGTTGGTTAATAATCCCCCATCTCCAAGGGGAAAACAACATGCTGAAAATTTTCTCCTGATTTTTTCTTAGCAATTTGAAATTCTCAGCAATTCAGGAATCCCAAAAAGGGATATTGGATGACATTTAGTAGCGAATCTTTTTCTCAGCATGTTGAGTTCCCCTTGACCCTTCTTTCCTTTCATATTTTTTTCTTAACATGGCTATGACAACAGATAGCAAACCAAGACTGTAAAGTAACACTCTTTGAGAATTACTAAATACCTACGCCACTAAAATTATGCAAAAGCTAGTAAAACGACATCTAATGTGTCTAATTGGCATGTACGAATCCTGTCAACTGTAATTTTTCCAAACAATCAACATTTTTTTTTTCAATTGTAATCTAATTTTTGAGTTTACACTCAGTGATTTTTGTAGCCATTAGCAACTAATTTAATCGAATTAGATACTGATTGATTTTCTTCCATTTGAATAAGCATTAATTAAACTGTTGCTATTTAGTCATTAGTTCCGATACCTTGATCAGTAATTTATTCAAAAAAAAAATATTTAAATGTTTTGACCTTGTTGACCGTGAATGGCTGCTTGTAATCCTAATTGAGGTTTTTGTTTATTTTAATTTTTTTTTTCCTGTCTCTACTTTTAGTTATTACCACGCTTATCAGTATCCGTAATGTTAGAAATCGAAAGAATTCTCGATAATAAACCAGTTCGTCCGCCAGTGATTTCAACATTACAAATGAGGGGATTAGTATCACATGGTAAATATGCTATTCATGTATGCTTCAATCTCTTTTTATTTGAGTTCAAATATTTGAATTAATTTTTAACTACATGTGTAGCTTGGTAACGTTGATGTCTATGAAGTTTTGTATTAGATGAACAAATTTTTTCAACATTAAATTTTTTGATATAGAAATTATCTGATTTAATTTGCATGATTTTCACAGAATAAAAAAAATTAAAATAAAATTAAATTAGGGTGAATTCGACAAATTTGCAGACGATGCATAATTTTAAAAGTTGATGGGATAAAAAAAAGTTTTATTTAAAAAATCGATGACAAAATCTTTTGCAGCACAATGAACATATATGGGCCAAGTTTAACGTTCTTGGATTGAAGCAGAATACATTTTTATCAATGAATCGTCGCATTTTAGGTCAAATTTTAATAATAGCTTGAGAACAAAAGGCAGACACTATGTCTACCAATTTTATAAAAAGACTAGAACAAGGCAATTGCAACTGACCGATTTTTAAGTTTTTGTGGGAAAATTGATAGCAATTGAATAAGTTGAGTTAGACTTCTTGGCGGTACTCATGCTAATGTCATTGAGAATTTTCTATTGTTTTCATTTCTTGTTGTCTTATCTTATTGAAAAATGGAAATGATTGTGAATGTTTGGCAGGAGATGGGTACTGTTGGGATAATTGAAAATTTGAAGAATGTTTGAGAAGCAAATAGTATTGAATGGAGCTTTGTTTGTTCATATCGGGGTTCTAAAAGAATATACTTGAGGTGGAAGTGACGATTTTTGACTAGTTTACTTATTAATCCAGCAAAGTGGTTAAATGTTATTTTACTAAATGTCTAGGATGCATCCTGATGTTTTTGGTTGGGAATTTTGAAGCAGCTATTTAAAAAAAGGAGAGTGACTGAGAACAGCGCTAAGAACCTTAACTTAATTGACACTAAACTAATCAATACTCCTTCATACTAATAATGATTTAATTTGCAATTTTTAAGTTAATCTAAAAATATTAAACTAGATTAATCTTCGAATGTTAAAAACAAAACCCTTTTCCAAAGAACTTTTATATTGATTAAGTGGCTTCAAAGATGGGAGAATAAGGAATGGAGGGGATTGGTGGTCAACAAGAAATAACTTACATAGGTCCTTTGATATAGAAAAAGCCCTTTTGATGAAAATAAGCCAAGGTAATAAATAAAGCTCCTATTTCATCAATACTATATGACTTATCACAACTGCGGCAATGGATTCTCGTAAAAAAATATTTGAGCTCAATTAAAAATAATAATAATAATAATAATTTTTGTAATTTGTCAATTTCTTTCTATTAATATCAAATTCTTCTTTTCATGTTTTAATTAAAAAATCCACTTATTTTTGTATTACCTTCCATATCGTTTTATATTCTTTATGTATGTAAAGTCGGACCAGATATCGTAGAGAACTGACTTTGTTGTAGTGCCAGCGCACAACATCTTGCTTTCCAATTAATTTACTTTCAATTTTCGATTATGAAATTCTTTCTTCGATCTCAATGTGACCAATTATTGATTACAACTTCAGCCTGCGTATAGCATAATGAAATTTAATGAAAAACAAACAAAATTCTGGAAATAAATTCATAACTGTCCACACATGAAACATAAATAGACACACACAATTTAGGCATGAATCACGAGCACATGTCCTGCACATACATACACACATGTACCACGAAAAACTATGTTTTTTTTTGTTATATACTTTTCAGTATGAAAGAATGACTGTAAAAAAGACTGAAAATTTGAAAAATGAATGAAAAATTATTTTTGGTCGTAGTGTCTTGTGGATCATCTTTATTTATCTCCACAATTATCCACAAATTCCGTATAAAAGACTTTTGTTCGGTAATTCTTCTTTCCTATCAATATTTTTTTTCTATTTCTTATTTATTCTTGCTCTCTTTTTACAAATTTTAAATTTTTTTTTAATTCCTTAATTTTTTTAAAGATCAATTTTTTTAAAAACGGCTGAAAAGCGTCTTATTAAATTCAATTTTATTTTATTAAATTCCAAAAACTTCTTAAAAAGCTTCTATTTTCCTTTTGGCTTCCGCAAAAAAAAAAATCTTCTTTCTTCAATTCTTCTAACCCTCTCAAAAATGTCCTAATGAAGTTTTGACTTTTTTTCCTCTTCTCTTTTTTTGTGTCAATTTTTTTTTTCTTCACACCAGATGCACTGGGAGAGCTTACCGGTGATCCAAGCGTTCCAGATTCTGTACGTGGCGATGAGGAGGAGGAGATAATTGAAGAGCAAAAGGACGATGGTAAAATGGGGTTTTGCGAAATTCAGTGACAAAAAACATCCCCAATAACTGATAGTAAAAAATTTTCTAAAAAAAACTTTAAGCGATTAGATGATACAAAGAAGAAATTAAATTTATCAATAACGAGAATTGATGAGGAGCATGATGATGATAAAATTCAAATTATTCCTTTAACTGCACCGATGAGAGTTAGATCACCACTTGGTTATCGTTCATCTTATAATTTAGATGATAAACCTCAGTTTTCGAGTCCTTCTAATAATTTAAATGTGACAACATCGAAACCAACGACAGTTCAGTTATCGTCAGCAAATATCAAGTCAGTTCCACGCTCGACACCGCCAATTGAAGAGCCAACAAGAAAAACCTCAATTTTGAGTTTCAAATCGTTGAGTTTGAGTCTTAGTATGTTTAAAGGAAGTCGTGCTCGTGCATCTGAAGGTCATATTGAGTCACAGCATTTGAAGACAATTGATGAGCCACGAAAATCGATCTTTAAAATGGATATTTTTGAAAAAAATCTTAAAAAATTCATTTCCAAATCAACGGAACCAGAATTCCAATCATATTCTGAATACACGCAACAGATGCAAGAAAATGTTAAGCCACGACGTAATACGATTTTCAAATCACAAAAAATATACGCACGTCGCTCTTCAATGTCTGATATACCAGATATGGCAGTAGCTGGTCATCGAGTTGTTCATATGGATCATGGCAATGCACCGAGTCATTCGCAAACAAATTTAAAGCATGAACAGCCCAAGAAGTATGAGTATGTTAAGTATGAACACAAGACTCAAAAGTCTCACGATAAGACAGCCGAGATGCTAAAAGAAGTCCGAAAACGTAATTTGGAGACAGCAAAACGAATTAATGCTCCACGTCGCATTAGTACTGCATATTAAATTGCACATTTTTTTAATTAAATTATCCCGTAAAACTCTTTCTCCACACGAATGTATTTTTGAGTGAATGGAAATCTCTTTTTTGAGCATAGTTACTTCTTATATATCAATAATATCGCAACGAAAAACTACTTAAAAAAATAATATTAATATATTTCGGTTATTTATTGAAGTAATGAGAGTAAAAAAAACTTTTTATCGTCATTTATGAAAAATGCTCTTATCAAAAAAAAGCGCCATAAAATTAAATTAATGAAAAAAAAACTTTTTTCTAGACTTTTTAATAAAAACAAAATATAAATTAAAAAAATTATTATATTAATTAAAGAAAGAAAAAAAAAACAAGATTTATTGAAACCCTGCAGCTTTGCTCTAGTTACGCGTTCTTAAAGAATTCTAAATTATTAATATCGTAATAAAGATGAAGCTGAAAATGATGATGATGATGAATATGACTTAATACAATACAATAATTAATTAATTGAGATGGAATGATGATGAAAAATTATAGCAATATTTGCATTAAACTATAGTTGATGATGATATTTATATTAGTGATAATTCGTCTGCTTATGCTGATGAGGAATTGTTCTTGGGAAAGTTTAGCAACTTGATAGATTTCTTAAGGTTTGTGCAATTCATGAAAGTTGAAATTATTGACACCAAAATGATAATTTAACTGTGATTTGGGAGTGCAAAAAAAAGTAATATTATTAACAGGTTTAGATCGGGATAGAAAATTCTATTGGATGATATTTTTCAATCATTGAACTAAAGAAAATGTTTGAATCACTGCAACTTTAGTGTGTATTTAAGGAGACGTTATGATCATGATTTGACCATGATTCAATGAATTGTTATTCTTATTAAAAGGGTTTTATCGGTTTTATAAAGATAAAGTTTGAAGCGTATATAAAGAAGGATCTGATACTAACCTACAGCCAGTTTTTACTTTATTGTAGGAGACAGATCATTAAGTTATGTTTAATGAAAGGTTTCAGTTAAGTTTAAACCTACCTTTGCTAAGTTATCTCCAAATCTGTTACTACTTACTTACTTCGCTGACCGTACAAATCACTTGTGATCTATGGCCTCACTTAGATGCCGCCTTAAGCTGGCTCTATCGCTGGCTACCGTTTGCTAATTACCAATACCAAATGCAATACTATCTCTGTCAACAGATTCTTTCTTTCATAGTCTGTTACTAAGCATTTATCATATCAGCATCTCTGCATTTGCCAAACAAATCCCCAAAGAACTATCCCTCATCAGTATCTAATAGACCTTTTAATATAATTAAGTACACAAGTACATTGATTTCAAAAGTAAAGTTCAATTAATGAGATATTAACACTAAGTCAATTTTATGTCAAAACTTATCACTTTGTTTGTAAAAATAAATTTTTTGTGTATCACCTGAGTTATCTTTAGTACCAAATAAATTAAAAATAAAACCATATTGAGATAGAAATCTGATAAAGAAGATAAAAACATTTTCTAATGAATAAAAAAAATTTAAAAAAATTGTGAAAACAAGCTGACGTAGTTAAAGATGACATAAAAAGTGTTAAGCAAAAGAAGCTATAGAATAGATGCAAACAAAAATAAAAGAAGTGGATTTCATAAAAAAAAATTCAAAAATGAGCCTTACGAATAATAAAAAAAAATGAAACTATAAAGATGAAAATTACAGTAGAGATAATGATGCAAAAAATTAACTCGAAAAAATAAATAAAAAAAAGTACACGTAAAAAGCAGTTGCCCGAGATGCAGCTACATCACGATATAACTACTAAGCTTTCTCGATTTCTCGGTCTCGACAAATTCTCGAGACCGAGACCGAGACCGAGACTTCCCGGGAATTCCCGGGAAGTCTCGACTTTAAAAACTACTTAAAATTTCGCTGAAAGTAATTAAAAAACACTTAGAACATGTAGATTACGTCTATTTGTTATTGAACTTCTGGATATATTCCTTGTTATGCGATCAGTCAAACTAATTTAATTGTCTTAATACTATTATAAAATATAAAAGAAATACGAAATACGTAATGATAAAAGAAAAGCATAATGATAAGAAAGTGTGTCCCTATTAAAACTATTCTGGGTTTTGGAAATGACTTTTCACAAAAACGATAGCATTTAAGTTTTTGTTAAGCAATCGCTTCCTTTGCTTGGTCAAAACATTATTGCTGATTGAAAAATTACGTTCACTCTGGGTAGATGTTGGTTGAATGCTTAGCAGTGCATTATACAGCTGATTTAATTTTTAGTGATATTAAACCATTAGGAAGCTCAATAATTTGCACCCGAAAAATCCCATACAAAAAGAGAAAAAATCCCATACCTCCGAAGAGATTGAAGCAAATGAAAATTTCATGTGTGAAAATGCGCAAATTTCAAGGTCATTTACCCTAACTGTAAGATCAACTACAAACTGTGATGGGAAAAATTCTAAAATTATCATTTTTACTTAAATTTTTTTCTTCTCTAGTCTCGGGTCTCGGTCTCGGAAAATTCTCGAGACCGAGACGAGATCGAGACCGAGACTTCCCGGGAAGTCTCGGTCTCGATTTCGTCATCGGGAAAGCATAATAACTACAAGAATAACAGCAACACAATACTGGTGATTAAATAAATATAAGAATTAATTTAATTATTACTGTCGAAATGAAATTTTAAAACAAAAAATAAAAATAATAATAATAATGGCAGAGTTTATAGCTAGAAAATTAAAAAAAAAAACAAAAAAAAACATGCAATTAATGATTTATTACATTATTAAGTCATTATATTGAAGAAAAATAAATTGTTTTCTTTTTTAAGAATGAAAAAACGGAAGAAAATTAAGAGAAAAAATATAAAAGTGATTAGAGTGATGGATGTTTTGGGGATTGAAGGTTTAAAAGTAAAGGAGTAAGTTACAGTGGCATTCGTTGCTTATTGTATCGTTCAAATCTCAAATTATTGTTTCAAATGATATTGCCATTAAATTTCTCATGCAATTATGATTCAAATTTTTAAAGACATAAGTTTTATGCGATGTAGGTTCGATTCCTATTATTTAGCTAGTTTTCTCCAAGTTTCCGACTTCCAAGTTGTTCGTTTTATAATCTTTTTTCCGATTCATATTTTGTCTCTTTTTTGAAATAAAATTGTCTGAATAATTAACTTAATCCTTACTTAAAGCATCAATCACTTAAATATCCACAAAAAAACACACCAAAAAAATCAATTTTTTAGAACTTAAAATTCTTTTTTCCCTCGCTAAAAGCTTTTTTCAAAAAAGATTACTTTCTTATAGGCTCGTACTGGCTCGTACATGCTAGGCATTTTTAAATTTAAATTAAATAAGAAAAATTATTTATTGAACATGAAATGTTTGAAATTGTTAAAATATTTAATAGGGTGATATTAAAAAAGATGAGATAAAAAAATGATTTATTCTTAATATTTACAATTTTTTTTCTTATTAAAAGTTTCAAAAATAAGAAATTTTTTTGCTTTTTGGGATGTGAAAATGATGGAACGATCGAGAATATTTAGATAGAAAAAATAAATAAGAGAGAAGTTGAGTGACGTTGAACGTTCAATTTAGCCAACAGACCATAGCAAAAATTCAAAGCAATTCAAGATTCTTGACTAAGTTCACAAACTTCAAGCATATTTCAATCCAAATGACTTAATTAAAATTACAATCTGAATTCACAGTTGAAAAAATGTATCAAAAATGCACAACTTAATCTACAATTATAAATCTCGCAATAATTTTCCACTCAACACCTCAGAAAAAATTTCTCGGAACTGTCAACAGTTTCAGTTGAACAAAAATTGCAAAGAGATAAAACACCAAAACGATCGCATACAAAAGTAAAATTGAAAAGTGCCAAGCACACAGGTTGAAAAGTCAAGCAAGAAAAGCACACGTTTGCCTAAAGTTCATTACGAATGTCTCTCTCGCAGAAATTAAATAAGATTTAAAAAAAATTCATTGAAATGCACAATCTAAAAATAAAATGAAATGAAATAAAAATATACGTCGTTGACATGATTTGAAAGTCAATATTTCCGCAGCTACAGATACATACATATATACTTTACTGATCCATATCTCCTTTATTTGCCCACTTGTGTTTATATTTATTATTGAATGTAATGAAATGAAAAGGAATAGCAAAAAGAATATATATGCTGAATATAAACGCAAAAAATAATCATTAAAAAGCAAATATTTTTTTAAAAATATTTTATTGAATTTTAAATCATGTGAGATTTATTTTAATGTCTATTTCTCTATTCATTTATAACGAGAGACAATTTTAATGAGTTTATGAATTATTTTTAAAGAGAGAAGAAATGTCGCAGCGATAGAAATCAAATACATGACGGCATTTTTGTGTCATATTCTCGTAGGATTTTTTTTTCGAAGTACATGAATATCTTGTAAAGAGATATTGAGAAACATGCTTGATTTGAGAGATTAATTGTGTGAACTTATTCACACTGAGTTTGCAGAATGTGATGGGAAAATGGGTCAGAAGATGGCTGAAAATTTAATCTAAGATTCATAAGTGTTGTATTTGAGAAGAACCTAGGATGGGGTATTAAGCAATTAGATATGATTTTATACTAGTGCAATAGTAAGGTCTCTGTGTCTGAGTACTTACAAATCTGAGCTAACAAATAACTTTGATTTTCTTTTGTGGAAGTGTGAGGTTGAATTCTAGCAAAAGATAGAGCTTCAAAAGTTAAAGGGAAGGAGTTCGACCCACTTTGAACGCCTTCATTTCTCTAATAAGATGAGCTTTCACTCATTATTAAGAAAGCAATGAACATTACAAGAACATCAATAGAAGCTTTGTAGTGGTAGCTTAGCTAAGAACTTAGGCTCCAGAGCCTGAATTTAATTTAAATAGGTGCAAAACCGAATGTAAGGTTCCCAGATTGTAAAAATATAACTCCAAGACAAATTCTAATTCTCCTCCTGCCTTAACATGGGTC